ACAGCATGGGCCTGAAGTTACACAATCTGCGTTTCTTCTTTCTCATTTCAACCACAGTCCCTTATAAATCTCAAAAGCCCTGGGAAGGACGATACTGAGTCCACGAGCATTGTCAGTCCCTGTCACCTTTGTCTGGCTGGTGCTTTTGAAAAGTGTAAACCCATAAGCAAAGTGTAAGTATTGGTGCATGTGGATACCACCCCCAGATTCCAAGCCTTCCAGAGTTCTAGAACCTCCCACTTGCAGTTTATTGGAATCTTGGAAGCTCAAAATCTGCGAAGCCAAGAAGTCAGGCCTTGCATTAGAGTCCCAGCCTCTGATACCCCAGGACCAGCCCTGGAAGAGAGGACAGAGGGCCAACCTGCTCTTAGATGTAGAATCTTCTATTCAACATCCTTGGATCCCAGGTTGGAAGGGGTCTCCTGGCTCTGCAAGGCTACTTTAAGATCCCTCTTCTCTCCCCAAGGCTCTGCCCCCCCACAGTGGAGCCTGGTAGGGCCTCCTTCTGCTCCCCGCCACGGCGCCACCCCTCCCAGCCCTTCCCTCCAAGCATTGTCACCCGCGCCTGAACCTTCCTTGTCTCTCTCTCTCTACCGGAGTTTGCACACAGCATTTAGACCTGGAGCCCTCCCAACGTAAATATCCCCTCCCTAAACATCTACTGGCGCCCCGTCTCCCGTTGGCCTGCCTCCCTGCCCACCCCCCTCCTTTGCAGCTGCCAGGACCACCAGCAGCCTCAGGTTGCCCTCCCCAGTGGGCATTGACCGGTCCTCATCCTACTGACCAAACTGCAGCCGTGGCTGACCTGAGGGCGGCCCCTGTCACCTGCGCCCACTGTGGCCTGCCCACCTCCCCGAGGGACTCAAAGTTCAGAAACTTTGTCACCAGGGGAGCCCAGGGCGGAACAGCTAGCAGGGTGGGTGCCCGGCAGGGGATGCAGGTGACACAGGGTGACCCTGGCTACCAAGCAGCCCTGCGGAAGAGGGCAGGTTAGCGAAAGCGTTGGACGTGGCCTTGCAGCTTTCCAGCCAGGAGGCCACCTGATTTTGACCAAGAGCAAGGAGCCGGGTGGGGAAGGGGCCCGCAGCTGCACGAGGGTGGTTTAGGGAGGGGCCTCCCGCGCTGCCGGGTCCTGCGGCTCCGAATCGCCTCCGGTAAGGATTCAGGCACCAGACGGGGGTGGCAGCCCCCAAGGAGGTGAAACCGTTTCACTCTAACTAGGATCACACCCGACTCTGGGAGGCAGGAGGGGAGGCTGGGCGGCAGCGGGGCCGCGGGCTTGGGCAGCCCTGCCTCTACTGCCTTCCTGTGCTGTTCCTCTGAGGCAGGGGCTCGGGGTGCCCAGGGGGCGCCTGTGGGGAGAGGCAGGGTGCCATGGGGGGGTACCTCCGGTTCTGGATCGTCCACTGGCCCTGGGTGCAGGGCAGGTCGTACTTCTGCCTCCGCAGTGCGTAGGCGTCAAACCAGAGGGCCAGGCCGTAGTCGAGGGAGGGTACCTGTGACACAGAGGCTGGTCACAGGACTGTGGCTGGTCCGGTGACCCCACCTTCTAGGACAACAAAGGGCAAAGGAGGACTGCCAAGGAGAGTGCCGGCTGGGGGTGAAGTTGGTCGGTCGCTCGGCAAACAGGCATCGCTGTGGCCGACGGCCGTCATCCCCCTCCCGGAGGGGTCTGGGCCAGGCTCGGCCTCTGGGTGCTTCAGCGGAGGCAGGACACTGGGGCCTCCCAGCAGGGGGCCCTGGAGGTCCTTAGGGTGTTCTGGGCAGACAGCAGGCGGGCAGGCAGGGTCCGGGGCTCACCATGAGGTGCCAGGAGCAGTGGGTGCTGGGCGAGTAGTAGCTGGGGAAGTACGGTGTGCTGAGGACGCCCTTTGTCTCCAGCTGGCCGTCCAGGGTCAGGTTCACCTCGCAGGCTGGCCCAGAGAACATGGTTACACAGGGTCCCTCGGCCCCGTCCCATTGCACCTCCCCGCTGCCACTGAGCAGTAAAGCCTAGTGGCTGAGTGTGGCTGTGTGGTCTTGGGCCTCCGTTACCTCATCTGTAAAATGGGGACAGTAAGTACATACCTCATAGGGTAGCTGAGAGGGTTAGACAAACATAAAACGCTCACACAGCCTGGTGTGCAGTAAGTGCCCAGTAACTTAGCCATGGATATTCGCTGTCAGCACTGGGCCGTCTACTGAGTGCACTCACAGCCCTGAGAGCCAGCCACAGGCCTCGGGGGAGGAACCGGTTGCCCTCTTCAAAGATGAGGTTTGGAGAAGAAGAGTGACTTAGCTGAAGTCACACAGTGAGAGAGTGAGGGATCGGCAGTGGGAGTGTCCCCAGCTGCCCTGCCACCCCTCCGTGGAGTCAAGTCCCTAAAGCCCTGAGTGGGAAGAAGCAGGCAAGGAGGGGGAGCGCAGCTGTGTGTGGTCTGCTGGTGACACCCCCTACCCAGAGCTTTGGGGGCTGCTGGCTTGCTTTGCCTGCCCAGAGGCAAGGCGGTTGCAGGTCCGAGGACAGCCAGCAGGTGTGAAGGGGGCGTGCTTCTCCTGAGAGGGGTGGTGGAGGGGCGTCCAGAGCAGGAGAGGGTGGCTGGGGAAGGGCCCGTGGCAGCCCCGGGGAGAGCTTTCCCAGGAAATGCTGGGTAGCCACCCTCCCCATCTCCCGGGAGACCTTTGGGCACACCTTCCATGTGAGACCATTGTCTGGAGGTGAATCTCAGGTTCTCAGGCCTGTTAACCACGGACCCCAACCTCCAGGTGAGTGCAAGGGGAAGAGAGACAGGGAGGGCCCAGCAGAGGAGACAGAGCCAGGACAAGAGGGAAGGAGAGGGGACGGCTCAGGAAAGGAGATCAGAAGGCAGGAGAGAGAGGGAGGGAAGGAGGGTGAAGCCAGTGTCTCCTCCCGGGTAGGAGCAAAGGAGAAGATGCGGGAAGTGGACCGAGAATGGAGGAAGGAAGAGAGGGGTTGGGGTGTATGCGGGAAGGCGGGGTGGAGCGCAGAGGCTCTTCCAGAACCTTCCCTCTCCCTCATCCCACACCAGCTAGAGCCAGGATGGTGAAGAGCATGCCTGGGGTTGCATTCGGCTTCTGTCACTTCCCTGCTCCCTGCCCCAGGGCCCCGAGCCCTCACCCTGGAAGGCCACGGACTGCACAGAGAGCACGAAGGGGTCGTAGTAGCTGTGTAGACCCTTCTTCCAGACCACCGCCATGATGGCGCCCGACGCCAGGACCTCCACCACGGGCTCCTGGCGGCTGCAGCCATAGACCCTGGGGGACACAGGAAGGTGGGGAGGGTGAGCCGGGGAGGGCATCTGGGAGGAGCAGAGCAGGGTCCACTGGGAATCTATACCTGGGTGTGCAGCCAGCCTGCTGTGTGTTCACAGACAAGTTGCTGACCCTCTCTGGCCCAGGGGACTGACGGGAGGCCCTATAAGGGTCAGGCCAGCACCTCAGGTGAGCAAGGCCAGGAGGTTGCTCAGACTTCTAGAGCTCATACTCAACTCTGCCAGCTGACCCCAGTCCCACAGAATCTCTCCCACCCCTCGGAATCCCTATGACTCTGAGTATCCAGCCTGTGCCCGCAGGAAGACCTGACTGGCACCTGTGGGAAACACATCCTTTCTGGGCTGGGACAGAGAGGAGGCAAGAGTATGGTCTGGTGACCCCTAGAGCTTGGTGCCTGGGATGCACAGAAAACGTAATGGTATCTTACTTAAAATTCTAGGCTCAGAGGTCTGAATGCCAGCCCTGCAAAGGCCCTTAGAAGATTGTCAAGGTCAACTGCTTGGTTTCCAGGTGGGAAAACTGAGGCCAAGGCCCCACTGCAGGTTCACAGCAGAGACAAGGGCGCTGGACAATGCCTGTAACAGCACCTGGTGTGTCCTCCCAGCAGGTGCCCCCTGGTCTGCCATCTCAAGCAGGGGTGCTCCCAGCTTCCCCTCTCCTTTCACGAACCTCCATCAAACTACCCCTCATCTCTGACAGAATCCTCTGAGCCATTGCTAATCGTAGACCAATTCCTAGGAAGCGACTAACCCAGCTCCCAGAGTGGGCATGCCACTGGCCTGCAGCAGGGTTCTGCCTGTCTATGACGTGCTGGCCACAGACTTGACCAGAGGGGTGGGGGCCGACGGGGCACTGCAGGCATCCCGCAACTGTGTATGTGAGATGGAAACACAGCCTCGAAACCCAGAGTTCAGCGAGTAATCCCAAGGGGCTGGCGGATCCTGGGAAGGGGCTCTGGCCTCAGCTCCTGCCAGGGAGGGAGATGGCACAGCCGCCGCAGTCCCCCACTCCTCCTGCTTTTACCACCCGGTTTGTTCTCACTGCTGGGTGCCCCCACCCTCCCC